GTATATGTATATGTATCTATATATACATATACATACATCGTATATATATATATATATTCATGGTCGAAGTCTATATAATGTATATGCCATGGCATCACGGATGCACGCACACAAGGAACACGTACATATTGCTGTCTACATACGAGTATCGATGTTTAACTGGTATAGTTGACCCGGACATGCTGACATTGTATCGGTGTCACCACACCGCATTGGTGGTCCTTATTGTGCAATTAGGAATGATTCATCTCCATCTCTGATACTGTCTAGTATCTCATGAGTGTGGCTGACTACATCTTTATTACCTAATCAAACATGCTATTTCGTCAGTGCCGTCCCCATGTCATGCTAGACCTTGCAACGCTTGCAAGAATCTGTATGTATAATTGATAATTAGAATTCCAGTATCTTTTGTTTCATTGATAATTGAAGTATACTTTCCCTGGGCAAGCCCGGCCCTGTTAGCCACTGACAAGCCACCCAGTACGGCTGAATATGTAAGTACATTGAACTGGTTATCAGTATCTGTGTGCAGTTATTAATGATCGCATTTCAAATCCGGCGAAATTTAGGCCCTGTTTGCCACTGATAAACCGCCTACTACGGCTGGGGGTGGCACAGTCTTCTTCGTTTCCCCGACGCGGCACCAATACTTGCGCGATATCGAACTCAGAGAGGAAGGTAAGCAGCTTGAATCCCAAAGGACAGTATATACATATAAGTTTATGTATATTTTTCTTGTAGGGATCGGTAGAAAGAATATGAGGCGTGTGCGTGTACAATTTCTATATATATATATCCATATATATATATATATATATATATATATATATATACATATGTATATATATATATATATATATTATATACGTTATCAATTTGTGGTACGGAATATTCAAAATGTTGTATTGCACTATCTGTAGGTGGTACTGGAGGCATTGTGGAATCTGTCCGCGCGGGTATGGCCTTTCAGCTGAAGCAGGCGGTGTCAGTCCCTGTCATTGAACGGTGCGATGAGCGCATCACCAACCGCGTCATGGCTGCGTTCACGAGGTGAGGTATACGTCACTACTACCGGCTGTGTATTGTATTGAGAGGAGGTGCTATCGTTTGTGTTGAGTAGAGGTGCATTGCCTATGACTTGAGGTATAGATCCAAAATCTAATATCGAGTTTCATATTCCATCATCCACGTGTTATATGTCGCGTCATACACCACTGTATATTAACCTATACGATATAGTCGAAGGTTGATACTATCTCAGGTTCCTTGTTCTTCTAGCCTCCTGATATCCCCCGAGTTCGCATAGACTACTGCAGAGTACATCCACATGACCGGATCAATACTAGCAAACTCGTGACCGGGTATTGCAGTCACTACTAGAAGCTTCAAGAGGGACTGGTTCTCACCGTCCCACTTTGATCCAGCAAAAGAGCAGTCAACTAGCGTTACTAGAAGCCTCAAGAGGGACTGGTTCTCACCGTCCCACTTTGATCCAGCAAAAGAGCAGTCAACTAGCGTTGAAATCCATTACTTATTACTTATATCCCTGATCCCACAATACCCCCCCACGATGCGCTCCAGTCAACCATTGCACATATTTTCTTCTGAATGCTATCTTCCTGTTGTGTTGTAACAGCCACCCGAATATCGTTGTACTCGGAAGTACGAAGGCGAAGAGATTGCCCATCTTTTCGCTTATGATCAAGCACAATAGCCGCTATCTCCACTACAACTTCGTTGGAGCTCTGCTGAACGATTTGTTTGGTATACAGTGCCGTGGTGGCTGTGTCTGTGCTGGCCCGTATGCACAGGTAAATTGTGTTAACGGGGTGGTCTGTTGCGAATGTCAGGATATTTATGTACATATATAGTTATATACATAGATATATATATAGTATATATATAGGTATATATATATATATATATATATATATATATATATATAGTNTATATATATATNTATATNTATATATATATATATATAGTATAGTATAT